TGGGGAGGGAGGGTGAGGGGGGAGGTGGGTGAGTTGGAGGGGAGGGAGGTATGAGGGACGGTCAAGGCTGTTAGGCCTCAGGTCATTGCTACAGTGGTGTGTAGAGGGGGAGTGGAGGGGAGGGGGGAATGATAGGAGGAGGAGCGATAGAGAGGGGAGAGGGGAGGAGGGGAGGAGGTGATAGGGGAGAAGGTTTTGAGGCATCAGGTCATTGCTACAGTGGTGAGTGGAGGGGAGGGGGAGAGGAGGGGAATGGAGGGAGAGGAGGGGATGGGGGGAGAGGAGAGGAATTGTACATAAAACGTAAAACTCTTACTAAAAGTTAAACTGTAACCTAATTGTCCTGTAAAGCGACGTAAAACTCTGACTAACTCTAGACACGGGCTCGATCTCCAGGACCAGTACCGCCTCCTGTACAACTTGCTCAAGATGTACTACGACTCTCAGAACGTCTACTCCAACTTCGGACCCAGATCTTCCCCTGGGCCGAACCGCATTGTGCCCACACCCACACCCACACCCACACCCACACCCACTGCACCAGAAGAGGAGACAACTTACGCTAACCACGGCGCCACCCAGAGCGCCTCCGACCGGCCCAAAAACCTGCCTCAGTCCAGCCAAAAGTCCAAGAAGGAGGACACATACATCAACTTCACGCCGCAAAAGATCGACTTGCCGGACAGCTCAGCGGCCGACGGCGGACACGAGCCAGACTCTAATGTTTACAGCAATAGCAGCGCCATACAGAGGGGTGACAAATAAACAATAGCAGCGCCATAGAGAGGGGTGACAAATAAACAACAGCAGTGCCATAGAGAGGGCCGACAAATAAACAATAGCAGCGCCATAGAGAGGGGTGACAAATAAATAACAGCAGCGCCATAGAGAGGGGCGACAAATAAACAACAGCACTGCCATTGAGAGGGCCGACAAATAAACAATAGCAGCGCCATAGAGCAGGCAGACAAATATACAACAACAGCGTGGTCGAAGGCCGTGAATTGTTCACATTTATTGTTGTATTCTCTTTTACCGTGTACTTTTCAAGAGAGGAGAAATGGACACAGATTGTAACATGTAGCTTTATATATATGCATATAAATATACATATTATGTATATAACATATATAATAAATATATTGAAATGAAATAGTTAAAACGATAAAATAAATTGATATATTTATATGAAATAGTTGTAAAATGTAATGATAAGTAAATGGATCACACGTGCACATATATCTGTAGGAGAAGAAATCGTAAGAAACAATGGCTATGCAAACAAAGAGGTTATAGTTATATAAATAGTACTAGAGATGGTGGCAGTGACGTCAAAAGGAAATACGTAAGCGAACGGGGGCTGCGTGTGCCCACTCTGGGACGATTGGCGTTGAGGGCAAGAATATGGGCAGTCCAACTGGGGGAGAGTACTTTTTGGGACTAACGTCGTGGAAACGTCTTGGGAGGAAGTCTACACGCTTGCACGGAAATGTTAAAAATGCAAGAGCGGTGTGTGTTTGTATGTGTCTGTGTGTGTGTG